TGGTTCTGCCTGCCCCAGCCCAGGGTTCCCAATTTTGTCATAGGGTTCTGGCAGATTACAGGCCTCCCATAGGTGCCCACCAGGCCCCAAATCGGCCATGGGCCCCCGTACCGCCTGGTCACGCTGCTGCTGAGCCCACAGTGTGACCTGGGTCCCTGTACGGCCTCCCATTGCTTCCACTCTGCCATGTGCCACTTTGAAATCTCCTCACACTCCTGCGGTTGTCCATTTTGTCATAGGTTGCTGGCAGATTACAGGCCTTCCATAGGTGCCCACCAGGCCCCAAATCGGCCATGGGCCCCCGTACCGCCTGGTCACGCTGCTGCTGAGCCCACAGTGTGACCTGGGTCCCTGTACGGCCTCCCATTGCTTCCACTCTGCCATGTGCCACTTTGAAATCTCCTCACACTCCTGCGGTTGTCCATTTTGTCATAGGTTGCTGGCAGATTACAGGCCTTCCATAGGTGCCACCAGGCCCCAAATCGGCCATGGGCCCCCGTACCGCCTGGTCACGCTGCTGCTGAGCCCACAGTGTGACCTGGGTCCCTGTACCGCCTCCCATTGCTCCCACTCTGCCATGTGCCACTTTGAGGTCTCCTCACACTGCTGGTGTGTTCAATTTTTTGACATAGGGTGCTGGCAGATTACGGGCCTCCCATTGCTGCTGCCAGGCACGTAATCTGCCATGGGCCCCCGTACCGACTCCTCATGCTGTGACGTTGCAACAAGGTGGAATTCAACACTACATATGTTAGACCGCCTTTACGAACAGCGAAAGGCCATCACAGATTTCCTGATGTTAAAAGCGGATAAAGGTACTCCCTGTGTAACTTAGATGTCAGCCATTGTCAGCTCATGCGTGACACCTGCGCTTGCTCAGGCCCTTTGAGGAGGCCACGCTATTCGTGAGTCGGCAGGACTATGGGATGAACGAGGTCAAATCGGCCATGGGCCCCCGTACCGCCTGTTCACGCTGATGCTGGTCCCACAGTGTGACCTGGGTCCCTGTACCGCCTCCCATTGCTCCCACTCTGCCATGTGCCACTTTGAGGTCTCCTCACACTCCTGCGGTTTTCCATTTTGTCATAGGTTGCTGGCAGGTTACAGGCCTCCCATAGGTGCTGCCAGGCCCCAAATCTGCCATGGGCCCCCGTACCGCCTGGTCACGCTGCTGCTGGGCCCACAGTGTGACCTGGGTCCCTGTACCGCCTCCCATTGCTCCCACTCTGCCATGTGCCACTTTCAGGTCTCCTCACACTCCCTGCTGGTTTTCCATTTTGTCATAGGTTGCTGTATGGCCTCCCATTGCTGCTGCCTCTCCACCGCCACACTGTGGCTCCAAAACACTGGTTTTGGCCCCGTGACTGGCCAAATGAGTGAAGTGTGCGGTGATTCTAAGATCGACGGCACTCATCTGCATGTCATACTGAGTGACAGTATTATTTCTCTTCCCCAGCAGACTCCAAGGGCATTTAAATTAAAGGTACAGTGTTCTGCACTAATATTAAGTCTCTCTGAAGCCTAGAAACACCCTTTTTTAAGTTAAATTCACAGCGAATTTATTCGACTCGAATCGAATATTGTCCACGAATTCGCCGAATCAGTCGAATCGAATTTTTCATTTCTTCGCTCATCTCTAATTATAGAGTCAATTCTATCAATAATAAGGGAGAGTGAGATGACAGTGGACTTCCATTGAAGGGCTATAGCTCAAATTGGTTTAACGCAAAGCGTATGGATGAATCTTGGCTCCCGGCATATAATCCCAGCAATCAACTTAAATAGCAAACACATAGATGAGGACAATTGGAGTATCTGACCATAAATTCTGGAGGTGATTTCATTAACCTTGCACCACCCTGGTTTGACCACCTCACAAGACCAGAACATACACTATTTTTCCACAAGTATTGGGACACCTGCCTTCACACACACACAAACTTTAATGGCACCCCAGTCTTAGTCCTTAGGGTTCAATATTGAGTTGGCCCCGCCCTTTGCAGCTATAACAGCTTCAACTCTTATGGGAAGACTTAAACAAGGTTTTAGGAGGGTGTCTATGGGAATGTTTGACCATTCTTCCAGAAGTACATTTGTGAGGTCAGGCACTGATGTTGGACGAGAAGGCCTTGCTCACAGTCTCCGCTCTAATTCATCCCAAAGGTGTTCTGTCGGGTTAAGTTCAGGACTCTGTGTAGGCCAGTCAAGTTCCTCCACCCCAAATTCGCTCATCCATGTCTTTATGGACCTTGCTTTGTGCACTGGTGCACAGTCATGTTGCAACAGGAAGGGGCCATCCCCAAGCTGTTCCCACAAAATTGGGAGCAAGAAAAAGTTCAAAATGTCTTGGCATGCTGACGCCTTAAGAGTTTTCTTCACTGGAACTAGGGGGCCAAGCCCAATCTCTGAAAGAAGCCCCACACCATAATCCCCCCTCCACCAAACTTGACACTTGGCACAATGCAGTCAGGCAAGTACCGTTCCTGGCAACTGCCAAACCCAGACATGTCCATCTGATTTCCAGACAGAGAAGCATGATTTGTCACTCTAGAGAACACATCTCCACTGCTCTAGAGTCCGACGATTTGCATTGCATTTGGTGATGTAAGGTTTGGATGCAGCTGCTTGGCCATGGAAACCCATTCCATGAAGCTCTCTATGCACTGTTGTGTAATCTGAAGGTCACACCAAGTTTGGAGGTGTTTAGCTTATGACTTTGCAGAAAGTTGGCAACTTCTGCGTACTTTGCGCTTCAGCATGGGCTGACCCCGCTCTGTCATTTTACGTGGGCTACTACTTAGTACCTGAGTTTCTGTGGTTCCCAGTTGTTTCCACTTTGTTATAATACCACTAACAGTTGACCTTGAAATATTTAGTAGCAAGGAAATTTTGTGGATGGACTTATTGCACAGGTGACAACCTATCATGGGACCACGCTTGGAGTCACTGAGCTCCTGAGAGTGACCCATTCTTTCACAAATGTTTGTAGAAGCAGTCTGCATGCCTAGGTGCCTGATTTTATACACCTGTGGCCATGGAGGTGATTAGAACACCTGAATCCAGTGATTTGGAGGGCTGGGCCCAATACTTTTGGCAATATAGTGTAAAATATAATGTGTTGGGAGGAGCATTCCTGGAAACAGAGAGCAGAGGATTTGGAAAATATAGCATGAATTCAAACAGGGGTGCAGTACTACCTAGTTAAAAGTTAAGGGCTGTCTCTCTGACAACGAGCGATCTAGCGCATGAACGGAGATTATCAATAATCTTGCCCAGTCTCATGGGGCTAGTCTACTAAGAAGAGAGTTGTAAATCTCAGAAATTGGACTCTTTCCCCTGGAAGAGGCACTGCATATGCGTTCATAGAAAGATTTAGGTGAGGTAGGGGTAAGGGCATGACTAGTGGCATAATAATGTCTAATTTGAAAGTATTGCATATGTTTCTGTTAAGGAATGTCTTTGGATTGGCAAAGTTTTTTAAATGTGATAAAAGATGTGCCATCTGTAAATGCAGCTAAATTAACAATGTTGTTAACTTTCCACCAATAAAATGGACGATCTACCAGAAAGGTTGCAGTAAAAGAAGGTTGTCCAAGAAAGGAGATCAAAGGAGAAACTTGATTAGCCAAGCCAAACTTAAGTTTATAGGTGGACCAGAGGAGGGTTGATTGAAAGAACAAAATGCTATAGGAGGCCAAGATCTTGTAAGAGATAGAGGAGATCCACAAAATACCTGGAAGGGAATATGGGTATACTGAACAGGCCTCAGAAGGGAAATATTCCATTAAGGACACTAGTTCTGGTGATAGCCGGGGAGTTCTGTCACATTGGGTATTTTTGGTGTTTTTTTTGTCTTGGTGGCAGTTTTTTTTGTTTTTGCTCAGTTTTTATTATTATTATTATACAGTATTTATATAGCGCTGTACAATAGCAAGGGGGACAGAACATGAGACAAGACAGTAACAATACAATACACGAGGGGTTTGAGGGCCCTGCTCTTTCGAGTTTACAATCTAGAAGGAGGGGAAGGTGGCACAGGAGGAGATGGCTGTGGGGGATGGAGTGGCGGGAGGAGTGGAGGAGGTTAGTTTTAGGTGAGGTTGGGGTAGGCATCCCTGAAGAGGAGGGTTTTCAGGGTGCGCCTGAAGGTGAGGAGGGTAGGCGACAGTCTGATGGATTGGGATAGGGAGTTCCAGAGGATGGGGGAAGTCCTGGAGAAGTCCTGCAATCGGGCGTGGGAGGAGGAGACCAGGGAGCTAGAGAGTAGGCAGTCCTGTGAGGAGCGGAGGGCACAGGTGGGGTAGTATTTGGGTATCAGGTCAGTTATGTAGTTTGGGGCGGCATTGTGAATGGCTTTGTAGGTCAGAGTTAGCAGTTTGAATTTGATGCGTTGGGCAATCGGGAGCCAATGAAGGGATTGGCAGAGGGGGGAGACAGATGTGGAGCAGTTGGTGAGGTGGATGAGTCTAGCCGCTGAGTTTAGGATTGACTGGTTTTTATGCGTTTCCATTTTTGACAAGAACATTTAAAGAATAGGGCAGGTGCACTGCTTTTGCTAGATTCATTTGAGGTGCCATTAACAATTAGTTGCACCTAGCAATGGTAGTGCATGAAACACACCTTTCCCCCACTGCAATCAACTTGAATGGGCTTGAGTAGAGAAGGTGAACACTAGTGGAGACACAGGCAGCAATAAAAAACAAGCACAAGAACAAAATTAGCTGCTGGATTTGGATTTTATAAGGGTCTCTGAAATTGTTACTGGGCACAGTGGCTCCAGTTTGGCAGTGCCCCTTAAAACAGGGACCACAATCAGGAAAAAGGGAAAGGACCCAGAGGTGATCATTCACTCACATGCAATCCAATGATAGCTCCAAACAAATGTTCAAGAGTCCAAAGTAATTTAATGATAAAATTGATTCAGAGTAGAAACAACGGGGGCCTAACATATTCATCAGAGCTACAAAAGAAGTACAAATACAAAGGTCATAAATCTAAAGATAAAAGGTCATAAATATAAAAAATGATAATACAAGTAAAAAATATAAAAAAATGAATGGATATAAAAAGGCAAAGGATCACAAAGATAATATCTTACAGACAGTCACCAGAGGTTACAATAATACATTAGCAAACAGTGAAATAAACAGAATAATAGGCAATATCTAAAAAAAAAACATGACAATATTACAGTCAATATCTATACTAACCTCCTCTGGCACAAGATGCCCTCCATCTTCTGAGTTAAAGGCTGAGGACATTATTGTGAATGCAGATTGTCATGAGCTCACCCCATGACAGTGCCTCACAACAGTGCCCTTCATTCACTGTATTAAAGAGAAAAGAGGTGCAGACATTATAATTAGTGATGAGCCAAACATATCTTGGTTCAAAAATAAAAAAAGGGGGTGCCCCCAAAAATCCATATTAGATCCTTATCCAAGCAAGTGGCCTTGTAGGACAGGAAAGGGGAGGTAGGAGCAGACCTCCAAAGTATAGCAGACCACATGTCCTCAACAGTAGGGCATACCTTACAAGCCCCATCCACAAAACCACACAATCACCAGGAAAGGGATGTTGGAGAGATTGCTTTGGCAATGTAGCCCCTCATGTTGAGTGCATGTGGCCTGGTATAGATCAGGAGGAGCCTACCAGGATGCATGTTCAGATAACGATCTGGTATGGATTGTATAGGGGACCCCATGCTTTTTCTTGATTTTTACATGGAATTCCCTCTTAAAATCCATACCAAATGGCATGTATTAAAATTCATACCAGACATGAACTGCTTACATGGTTGGGAATTTGGTGTTTGGACCAAACCTTAAAGTATAACTAAAAGGCAGGAGTAGAGATGGATTAGAACACCTATTACATTCTGTGCCCCCATTAGAAATCTTCACCCTCTCTAATTGTCTAGTATCCATTATTATTGAAAGTGAAATCAAAGAAAATCGTCAAATTTTAAGTGGTCCCCAGAAAAGTAATAGAGGGGAAATCTTCCAATGAGGACACTAGTTCTGGTGACCTGGAGGCCCCCAAGGCATTTCCTTAATTTGTGAGGATCACTTCCTGTTTTGGGGTTATAGCCCTCCTTTACTCTATCCAAAATGAAAAAAAGTTTTGCCTATAGTTCTACGTTAAGCACATCCCTAGTCATAGTATGAACATCACTCTCTGCAGTGGTGAGGGCCATTCAGAGATAAAGAAAATTGGAAGAGGAACCAGAGCATCACGTGGCTAGCCAACATTGGGGTTGGGGGAGATTTATGTCTCAGAACCTAGAGGCAGGCCACACATTCAGCAATTATCTTTCCTGCAACCACAGGTTGCAGTAAAGAAAATTGCTTGATTCCACCTTCAACACAGTCAGTGTTGATGGGGGAATCCCTCCCACAGAGTTGTGTTCTGGCAGCGGGAAGCCTTTCCTGCCTGCAGAACACAATGATCACTGTTGGCGGATATAGCTGCCAGCAGTGATTGCATGCAAAAATCTGACATGCTGGTCGATGGATTGACTTCTGTACAACCAGTCTGCCCATAGATGGATCAAATCTTGACCAGTCCCTGCTGAACAAGTAGAGATTTGATCTATGGCCAGCTTTAGGCTTTAAAGCAGAAATTCAGCTGAAAATGAAAACAAAAAAGGTAATAGCCCATTTAACCTCCCTGGCGGTATTCCCGAGTGTAGCTCGGGGTTAATTATCAGTGCCAAAAGCGGTAACCCCGAGCTGCTCTGGGATCTGTTCTTCTCTTACCTTGTCCTACGCTGCCGCGATGTCCCCCCTGCAGCATCCCCAGCCATGTCCTCCGGCCGATGCCGGCACCCGTCTTCCGGGTTCCGGTCCCTGCAAGCGTCGGGATGTACAAGACGTAAGGGGGCCAGAACCGGTGGGAAATTAAAAATTTTAAAAAGTGACATTCACTCAATACACTAAAATCACATAGTAAAACATTCCTGTATCAAACCATTTCACATACATTTTGTCCCAAGTGCTTTGTCCGGCGCCCTGCCTGCATTTTTACTGTTCTTTCTGCCTGGAAACTGAGAAACGTTCATGGCGTCCAAAAAGCATCCCTTTAGGTCAAAAGCGGTTTTAGACCGGCTAGAGAACAGCGATAGTAAATCAGAACCACTTGCAGAATTGAGTGATAATAATTCGTGGGGGAAATTCCTCATCAGACACCACAAACAATATTGTGACTTTGCTCAGCGATGTGCGAACTTGGAGCTATATTTCAAATTTCAGTGTTTTTGGTTTGATTATATTATTGAATTACATTTATTTTTATTATATTATTATTTTTTATGATTATTTATTATATTATAATGTTTGATTTTGTGTTTCAAATTTTATCATACCCGGGATGTTTACTAGACTCTTGTTCGGGCAGATTTCAGTGAGTTATTCCTAAAAATGACAGGCCTAGAATAAAAAAAATACATATTTCCATACCACAAAATGTTCCACTTTGAGCACAGAAATACTGACATAATCAGACCGCTATGGAGGTTAACAATAAGACCCTTCTGATACTTTGAAAGCTCTGTGCGAACCATGACTTTTGCTGTAGAATGCGACGAAGAAAATGCCAGGAAAGACCTACTAGAACAGCTGAATTTTATTTGGGGTTAGACCGCTAGGGAGGTAAAAAAATAAAAAAGTAACATTTGCTTCAATAAACACCATCCACTCAGACCTGTTCACCACAGTACTTCTTTTCTGCCAAATGTCCTCCAGGCTAAATGACAGTCCATGTTATTCAACCCAATGTTTTTGAGATTAGGCCATCATGGGCTCACTGCTAGCTTGTGAATGGACAGTGAAAAGAAGAGGAGTTCTCCTCCTATCAACATGTTCTTTGTCAGAACATAAACTGATTGGCCCCTAGTGCTGCTTTACCTCCCCCCAAGTTTGAGCTCTGTTGTAAAGAAAATACAAGCGGCTGACCTCTGAACAGACGCGCTCATCACATACTTCTCTTTCATATGTTGTTCAGTGGGAGCGCGATCTGGGAGTGGCTGTGGATCCAGAGGCCTGGAATAAGGCTTGGTCATTCATAGCTAAATGCTCATTTAATATGACCACACTGGAGGCAGCCTATAAGGTATTGTTTTGGTGGTATTGGGTTCCGGCTCGGTTGGCCCGGGCTAACCCTGCCTGTAGTGATCAATGTTTTCGGGGTTGTGGCCATCTTGGAGATGTCTTGCACATCTGGTGGTCATGCCCGAGACTTTTTCATTTTTGGCCTCGTGTGTTTGGCCTCCTTTTCACCTTGTTCCATCTCTCCATACGCCGGAATGCCCGGTATGTCTTGCTTCATTGCCCCATACCGGGCCTCTTGGCTCACCAGCAGAAGTTGGCTTCTTATTTGTTTTTATCGGCCACTAGAACAATTGCCCAGGCCTGGAAGAGTCCATTTGTTCCTGTTCAGGGCGTGCGGGATCGTATGACTACTATGATGCTCAATGAGCAGATGTCGAGTAACCGCAACGACTCCCACCGTAAATTTCTGAAAATATGGTAGCCGTGGTTGCAATATGCCTTTCCCACACTCCCTCCGGCTAGCCTGGGGATGTAATGGCGTTCGATACTGGCGCTCTTGGACCCCTGCTTTTTGCCCCCCCCCTTTTTTTTTTCCCCTTTCTCTCTCTCTCTGTTTTTGGTGTGACTGGACAGCTGCCTTTAGTTGTTAGAGTCAGTTGCATTAATGTTTTGTACCTTATGTGCCATTGATAGCCCCTGCGTGGGCGTACCTTTTGCCCTGTTGGCGTTAGAGCACTGTTTTCCTTTTATTTTGCTTTTTTTTTTTTTTTTCTGTGCAATTGATAGCCCCTGTGTGGGCGAGTTTTATTGCCTCTGTTTTATAATGTTAAAAATTAATAAAAATCATTGGAATATAAAAATAAATTAACATGCATTGCAAAATAAAAAATTACCTCCAAAACAATTTTTTTTTTATAAGGAGAGCAAACGATAAAAAAAAGGTTGCTAAAATAGACATTCTTTACTTACGTCAGCTTAATAGTTTGGTTCAGTGAAGCACATATATTAACAAACATCAATTCAACCCTGCTTTAAAAACATTTAATGTACATTATCGTTTCATAATCTTGGATAAAATTGCTGCAACACACTTCATTATTAATATTATTTTTAACAATAAAATCCCGTACGGCGATGTGGAACAAAGTTGAAATAGATGATGGATGTGTGCTGGAACTGATACTTTGTTTCTGTCTGCAAAGTAGCGAATAGAGAAACAAGACATTAATTTCAGTTGCTTATTGAGGTGGAAAGCTATCAGCATCCTCAATTTGCTATAGCGGACAAAAAAAATAAATAAATAAATAAAAACAGCAAAGTTTTTATTACATTTATGGAAATAAAAGTTATAAGTAGGTCTCTCTTTTCTTCAGATCGTGTTTCTACTACGGAAAAAAAAAAATGGTTATGTACTAGGCCTGCGAGCGATTGGCAGGAGCCAGGACTTCAAATAGGATATAACAAACTACGGGTCTGAGAGGAAGGAAAAAAAAAAATGTAAAAAAATAAAAAATAAATTGCAGTTCTTGTGATGCATTTTTCATCAGGGGAAACAAATGAACAGGCCAGTTAATATAAGCAGTAAATGAACAGCGAATTCAAGACCAGAGAGCGAAAAGCTGAATGAACAGTTTAAGACATAGCAATTCTTTCAATAATGGATTCTGCGAGTGATTGTTTTTCTTTTGTTTCTCTAAAGAGCTGCAGCTGGAACAAGTAATGAATGGAGATTGTTTTTAGGACAAAGGAAGAACGCAGTTGCATTTTTCCGAAACAGGCAATAATCTCATGTTTATGAGATCAGATCTACTAATACTGTCGCACCGATCACTTTGTGTTTAACTGCTTTTTTTTTTTTTGTAGCAATTTGGTGAATTAGACAAGATACAGTGATACAGCTACATAAATGGTCTTGTGTTCAGCGTTAGATTTTCATGCCAGCTTGGCTGAAGGTTATAGAGGCATATACTAGTTTTACTTTTAAAGCAGAAAAATAGATATAGTTTTGTTTGGAAGTGGAATTTTTATTTATTTAATTTTTTTTACATATAAGTGTAAAAAAGGCAAATTAAAGAGAAACCTCATTTTTTATTTTTTTTTTTATTACAATGTACATGTACAAATTGTGTAAAGTGTACATTTAAAAATAAACTTTAGTATTTGGTTTTTTTTTTGCAGAACTGCACCATGGTTGTACTTTACTGCTCCTTCTAATAATGCAAGACTATGGGATCCAAAACTGGAGAGTGACAAATCTGGTGCAGCTCTGCATAGAAACCAATAAGATTAAGGCTGGCCATACACTATACCATTTTTTGCCCATTTTCCTTTAGATTTACCTTCAACTACGTAATGCAAGAGCCCGCCTAATTGGATACAATTGAAAGTGTTGTTAGGTTTGCTTATCCCCTATAATTATACCTTCTAAAGTGAAAATCTACACATATATAAGATATAAAATGATAACATAATAATACAAGATAAAATATAAATATAAATAATGTCCCAAAATGTCTCTAAAAAAATTCAAATCACTTTCTCTTCCACCTCCACATCTTCTCTTGTGATACTGTGTACGAAATTCCAGATATACTGATCCAACGTTGAAAAACCCTATAGAGGTAATAATCCACTTTTCAAAATAGTAGCTGCTGGCACCTCCAAGCTTCTTACAGTTCCTTTAGGCATACATCCATATCCCTCATAAGGCAAATCAATAGTTAGAGGCTTTGTAATAAAAGGTATATTACTTTATTAGCAAACTTACATCAAAAACTCCAACTTCCAGCTTCTGAGGCATGTAATCAAACACTCCTCTGGCAAAAACCACATGTTCCTTAAACAAAGATGGCCGTAATCGCACTTCGTAATTGCATCATACGTCACGTTTCGTCACATCCTGGACTTTGTCATCAAAGGGATCCCTTTTATATTTTTATATACTTTTTTTTATATTTTTATATTTATTGTATTACTTTCAAGGGTGAAAGTTCTCTTTTTTTTTTTTTGGTTGTAGTTATTTAAATTTGGGAGTGTTCGCAATATTGGTATGTTGTTAGGTTTGACCTCCAATTATATGGTTTTTGGTAAATCTAAACCAAAAATCTAAAAAAAATTGTATAAGGCCGGCCATACACTATGCAATTTTCTGTCCAATTTCTGTCCACTTTCTGCCCAATTTCATTTAGAGTTACCTTCCACTATGAAGTGCAAGGGCCTGCCTAATTAGATACAATTGAAAGTGTTGTTTAGGTTTGACCTCATATTATATGGTTTTTGGTACATCTAAAGCAAAAATCTCAGGATAATTGTATAATGTATGGCCAGACTAATGTATGGCCAGGGCCAGCCTTTGGCTGGCCATACACTATACAGTTTTCTGTCTAATTTCTGTCCAATTTCCTTTAGATTTACCTTCAACTATGTAGTACAAGAGCCCGCCTAATTGGATACAATAGAAAGTGTTGTTAGGTTTGACCTCCTATTATATGATTTTTGGTAAATCCAAACCAAAAATCTCAGGAAAATTGTATAATGTATGGCCAGCCTTAAGGTTCTATTGTCAAAGATTAATTGAACAAGCTAAAATTAGAAGCTGAACGGCAACCATGCACAACTGCTTCAGATTTAGCATGATCCAGTCATAGTAAACCTCCCCCTATGAGCCAGCTTGTGGGTAGGTGCAGTGTGGTGTGATGTCAGTAATTTTACAGAGTGAAGGGATGGCTCAACTTTACAAACAGCTCAGCAGGGATAGCACCATACCAGGCAGGTCCGAAACAAGGGGGGGGGGGGGGGGGTGAGAGGGGCGACTTCCCTGGGCACAATGGTTTACTGAGAAATGGGGGCACATTACTTCTGTTACGAGGCTGACAGGACTAGTGACAATGGCAGTGATTTTGACAAGCAAGTGACTGCTAGGTGTAGGATCCCCTAACTTTCACATCATGAACGGAGGTAGGTGCAGTTTGGAATCTTTTACCTGGGTGCTGGATGACCTTGTCCCAGCACTGATGCCAGGAAATACTCACACTTCTGTGCAGTTTAGATGTACAGCAGGTTCAGATGCACCGACAGTGTCTGTTTCAGAGAGCAGAATGTGGCCTGGCTGGTACGGTCCCAATGGGAAGTCTTCCAAAAAGGGGCATGTATCCCTAGCCTGTCCCTACTTGTCCTCTCCTTGCCACAAATTTCTTTTCCTGTCTGTTGGATGCTCTTTTCCTATACTATCCACTTCGCACATGAGCACCAAAACCTGGGGACAAGGGCCTAAAAAGGCCACCAGGGGTTACCTGGATGCAGCGTAGCCAACCATAATGCTGCTCCAGAGCCCCAGGAAATCATATCGTTTCTCCCAACTTCTATTCCAGCTGCAGTGCAGCCCCACCTACAGTAGGAGAAGCACACTGCACCTACCTACAGGCTGTCATATTGTAAAAAAAGTGCATTCCATGTGTGGCAACATCAGGGAGCTATTCAGAACAAACATGAGCATGTGCTGAGAAGGAGACAACAGAATAAAAATGTGCATACGCTGAGGAAAAGACTTGGCATGGTTGCCAATGCTATACATGGCCCTGCTCATTTGCACAGAAAAGCGTGCATGTGCGCAAAGTGTGCGCTAGCACGAATGTTCTCACTGGCTCACGTTTACTCACACCTGCTGCCAGAGCTGGCACCAAACGCCCTATTTAACCGCCTTCCGCCTGCCATATAAAGAAATGACAAGCACAAGGCAGTTCTCTCGTTCTGGGAGGACGTCATGTGATGTCCTCCCACTCTAACCATGCGTGTGCGGCTCGGGGGCGCGCAGCGGATCACCGATCGATGGAAAGAGCCGAAGACGTCTGCTCGGTCATGTGATCAGCTGTGTCCAATCACAGCTAATCGCATGTAAATAAGGAAATGCCGTTATTGGCATTTCTCTCCTCACGAGCTGTCACGCTGAGAGCTCGAGAGGAGAGGAGAGCCGGTAATCGGTAGTCCTCAGAGGGGACATGTACACTAATCATCAGGGCACTGATGACCAGTGTGCCCTGATGATCCGTGTAGCCCCAGCAGTGCCACCTGCCAGTGCCCATCAGTGCCACATCAACGCCACATATCAGTGCCCATCTTAGCTGCTTTTCAGTTCCACTTATCAGTGCCAGTCAGTGCCACCTATCAATGCCAGTCAGTGCCACCTATCAGTGCTACCAATCAGTGCCACCTATCAGTGCCAGTCAGTGCCACTTATCAGTGCTACCAATCAGTGCCAGTCAGTGCCACCTATCAGTGCCAGTTAGTGCCGCCTATCAGTGCGCGTCAGTTCCACCTATCAGTGCCCGTCAGTGCTGCCTATCAGTGCCGCCTAACAGTGCCAGTCAGTGCCACCTAACAGTGCCAGTCAATGCCGCCTATCAGTGCTATGGCACTATGAATGATGCCTTTTAGTGTCCATCAGTGATGCCTGTCAATGCCCATCAGTGCATCCTCATCAGTGCCACCTATCAGTGATCATCAGTGCAGCCTATCAGTGCTCAGTACTGCAGCCTCATTAGCGCACATCAGTGAAGGAGAAAAATCACTTATTTACAAAATTGTATAACAAAAACTAAGAAAAAACTGTTTTTTTTTTTTCAAAATTTTCTGTTGTTTTTCGGTTTGTTTAGCAAAAATTTAAAAACCCCGAGGTGATTAAATACCACCAAAAAAAAGCTCTATCTGTCTCAAAAAATGATAAACATTTCATATGGGTACAGTGTTGCATGAGAGTGAAATTGTAATTCAAAGTGTGATAGCTCTGAGAGCTGAAAATTAGCCTGGGCAGGAAGGGGGTATGAGTGCCCGGTAGGCGAGGGGTTAAGGACAGTGGCTGCACTTAGAATTGGCTGGATGTTCTTCAGCTACCAGTACTTCTTGGCCAATATCCAATATGAATAAGCTGATGATAATCATCCATAGTTTGCGAATGTTTCATATACACATCTGATGAAGCAAAACTCTGTTTATATAAATGTAATGAAGAATTGCAGCTTATTTGTACTTTGATATATCAGAATCACACTTCCAGAGTCGTGGGCTGAGTATAGCAGCCAAGTTTTAATTAAGCAGCAAAGTACTTGATGGATCAGCTGTCATATTGAAAACAATGCACTCTGCGTGTGACTGTTCGTTTATCTCAACAGCTGTTAAAGCCCAATTCCCCCCCTGCCACCTTGAAGACATAGTAGGGATATGAGCTCAGGCATTTGCGGATCCAAGTCCAAACCCACCTGAGCGAACCTTCTAGGAAGCTGTCACTGTACTGGGTCAAATCAAGTAATTAAAGCATTCTCTGCCTAATGCAATGTTTCTCAACCTTTTTTCAGTCAAGGTCAGGGGCGGACTGATAATTCATGGGGCCCCCGGGCAATAGGGGATCATGGGGCCCCTGTGTCTTTGCCCAAACTCAAAAAAGCCAATCAAAAGGTACCAGGGGCCCTCGGGCAGTGCCCGAGTTTCCAAATGGTCAGTCCGCCACTGGTCAAGGCACCCTTTGAAATTATGGACAGTCCCGAGGCACCCTTTAAAATTATGGACAGTCTGGAGACTGTCCATAATTTCAAAGGGCACCCCATTCTAAAATGTGAAAAACTATTCTAATAGTTTTATTTAATGCAGCAACATCCACACATGTAGGACACCCAACATTAGAAGTGATTTATTCTTCCAAAGTAAATACACTTTTGCACACTGGTACTGAGTAGTATTCCAATGTTTCTCCTCTCCCTCAGTTTTTTTTTCTCCATCACTGAGCTAAGGTGACCCCAGCACTGATGGAGAGGGGCAGGAGAGGGTCAAGCAAGGATGCTGTACAGGCAGCTGACATCCTCCTTATCAGTTGATGATGTCATTGGTTGTCAGGATGCTGGCGGCTAGAAGGTCGTAATGGTGCACAATGAAAACCTATGGCTTTGTGTAACTAAAAGGCAGGCTTGTTCCACCCGCTGGCTTGTATACAAGTTTTGGGCAATTTTTAGGCATTGTGCCAAGGCACCCCTAAAGAAACCTCAAGGCTCCCCAGGGTGCCTGGGCATCCTTGTTGAGAAAGGCTGGCCTAATGTATACATGTAGCTGTGGGGGAAGGGGGTTTCCCTGGGGGGGTTCCCTGGTTAGAGATGATCAGCCCAGTACAGGTGACAGCATGCCAAAAGACTCACTCAGGTGAGTTTGGACTAGAGTCCAAACATGCCCGAGCTAATCCCTATTCCCCAGTGTTCTGCTTGGTGTCTAGTAAAGGTTACTTTGCATTATCAAGCAAGGAAGCTTAGACCTCTGTGGTATATTAACCACTTGCCCTCCAGAGGATTTTTTTACTTTTTGCTATAAAACATATACAATAAAAAAAAAATTTAAAAATAACATTTTGTCATACATTTTGGCCAAAATGTATTCTGCTCCATGTCTTTGCTAAAACAAAATCCCAATAGGTGTAAATTAATGGGTTTACGTGAAAGTTATAGCATTTACAAATGGCGGTATAGATACTGGAATTTTTTAATTTAAATTTTTTTTTTAATACTAGTAATGGCGGCAATCAGTGACTTATAGTGGGACTGCGGTGGGCATTCTGACACTGGGTGGGAACTGACTGTCACTGTCATCCCCAGTGACACCAATACAGTGATCAGTGCTAATAAAAAGCATTGACACTGTACTAATGACACTGGGCAGGAAGGGGTTAACTTTTGGGCGCTCAAAGGGTTAACTGTGACTGTGTGTGTTTGACTGTGTGTGCCGTTTTATTAGGGAGGCATGCGGCTTTGTATTTCTCTGCTGTGCAGAGAAATACAAAGCAGCATGTCCTTGCTGAAAGGCCTCTTTCCTGTCAGCTTTGCACGGTGATCTCTGGGTGCTGGCGGGGAATCTCCGGCTGAGACCCGGTGATTGACATGCCTAGGCACCACTGGCGCAACGTGTAGGGTGACACGTGCACCCACTACCAGGGATTGCAAATAACATATATATATATATATATACATGTGATTTTGTGCAGCCCTACCGCCCTGTAGCAGTGTTTCTACAATAGAGCGGAGGGCAAGCGGTTAATGAGCTGTAACTAAACAAAAATTCTGTACATGCAAACTATTACAATTATAGGAATAGAATACAAGACTGGCAGATATACATAAAACATACAAAATGCTACTTACATCCTAGCGAAACTATGTTCTGTATACAATAGAAGAAAGTTATAGAGGCTTCACAATCTCCTCAGGCAACGTGGACCCCAGGCTTGCTCTAAAATGGGTTGCAGGAGATTGGGTTAAAAGCGTCTTCAGGTTCTGTCCAGGATTGGACTGACCATTTGGAAACTCGGGCACTGCCCGAGGGCCCGGGGTCAGTAGGAGGCCCCATGAGATGCCCCTGGTACCTTTTTCATAGGCTTTTTTGAGTTTGGGCAAGGACACAGGGGCCCCATGATCCCCTATTGCCTGGGGGCCACATGAGTTGTCAGTCCACCCCTGGTTCTGTCAGAGATCTTCCTTGGAGTTAAATTATCTTAGAATCCTTCAACACACACCAAGTCTCTAGAACAGCTGTTGCTTCTTTGTCTTTCAGAAAAACTCTATCTTTGTCTCTCAGCACATGGTTGTTCAAGGTCTTTCCCCTTTCCCCCTATTTCCTGTTACATCATATCCTCTGCTGTGGTCATAAACCTGTCAGACTGGTTCATTTGCATATCTATAGGGGAGGCTTAGCTTCTAAAACAGCACATGGTCTTACAATCTAACAATTTAACAAATGTATGTTAGAAAAACCAAAAATATCCATAGCAACACACCTAGTTTTTACTTTTTTTTATACTTACCTTCAGAGGTCTTCAGGCAGGTCAGATGAAATGCATGGTCCTCTTCTTCTTTGGATCCTTTCCATATGTGGGTGGTCCTCAATGATTGAGAGATGAGGGCTGACATGATGACATCAAAGTCACTGTCTGCATCATTGTATGTGAGTGCAGAAAGCTGTGGTGACGTCTCCTCTGTGAGCTGATCAGTGACACCCTACACCAGGGGCGGACTGACAACTCATGGGGCCCCCGGGCAATAGGGGATCATGGGGCCCCTGTGTCCTTGCCAAAACTCAAAAAAGCCTATGAAAAAGGTACTAGGGGCATCTCATGGGGTCTCCTACTGACCCCGGGCCCTCAGGCAGTGCCTGAGTTTCCAAATGGTCAGTCCGCCCCTGCCCTACACTCACAGGATGTCTTCAGCCTTCTGGGCTGAACAGTGCCTAGTGGAAAAGTAAGGCCAATGTATTTTTTTTTCAATATTTGTATTTATATTTTCCTTATTTCAGGTATTTTTATGGTACCATCAGTTTATGTGGCACTTTACATATAGAGTATATTATTCATTCACTCAAGGAGCTTACAATCTAAGGTCCTTAACTCACATTCATACATACACTAGAATTAATTTAGCCAGGAGCCATATAACCTACCAGCATGTCTTTGGAATGTGGCAGGAAACCCACCCAAGCACAGGGAGAACATGCAAATTCAAAGCAGGTAGTGCCATGGTTGGGATTCAGATTGACGACTCTAATGCTGCTAGGCAGAAATGCTAGCCACTTGTGCTGCCCTCTTCTTGCCCTGAGTTGGTTTAAATAGGTAGGTAGATTGATTTCTGGTTGAATGTTTGCTCTCTCTTGTGAGTAACCCTTTCACAATGATATATATATATATATATATATGTGGTCCTACAGAACTGTTTTTGTTCTGTGTGGCCACATATATGCGTATATATGTGTTTTATGCTTTTATGCTGGGAGCGCACTGTGCACAGCTACCAGGCTGTCACTGACATGCCTAGGTCATTGCTAGCGCTAGCTAGGGTGAAGTAAAAGTCTAAGGTCAAGGTCATTCAAGATTTTGGAGTTTGCCTGGGGGCAAAAAGACCATTTGTGAGGTCAAATTCTGATGTTGCATGAGAAGACCTGGATCAAAATTGAGGCTTTCAATTCATCCCAAATTAGTTCTGTAGGGTAGAGGTCAGAGCTCTGTACTCTTCACCTGAACTCATTAATTTGGAGGGGTTTCCATTACTTTTGGACATATAGCGTTGGTGTGATGGTCAGGTGTCTTCAAACGTTTGACTATATAGTGCAGTTGGAAGTTCAGTCCAAGGTCATATCATGTCAGTTGTAGGAAATTTAGTCAAGGCTGCAAGCTTGGGTCAGTATGTAAAGGCAGAAATCTGGGAAAAGTCACAAGGCAAGTTGTGTCGGTAGTAGAAATGCAGGAACTTAGAATCAGGAACAATTGAAGACCATTCAGTCAAAATATCTGTAAACTCTCTTTGAATTACAGGTCATCAGGAACAATTGAAGACCAT